TTTCAGTTGATGTGAAAAGAGACGTGGTCTGAGTTACTCTTTTGTAATAGGTGTAACAGAGCTGGTACTTATACAACGAAGGAAAAGCGGCGAACTACGACCAGTAAAAAAGACGTTCGTCACTGTTCCTGCCATTTAGTTGTTAGGTTCAATGCAGATGGAACCGTAATTGTCAAAGGTTGCCTCGGACATGTGGGGCACGAGTTGGACCCCGCACTGCTCAGATTCACCAGCAGGCAGATTATGTACCTCAAGAACCTCCTTGAAGGTAATTTGTGTGTACATTAGCGTGTCGTATCATTTGTTATTCAACAGAACTCTTTGCAGAGCATTCAATGGACTACATCATCGATAGGCTACGCAAGGAAGATCCAACGAAATCCTCAAAACTCTCTTTTGTGGTAAAGTCGGATCTTCATAATATAGTGAGACGTTTCAATATGACGCCGGGATGGAGGCACAATGATGATGTAATTTCTTTGCCAATTCGATATGATGAGCACAATGCCGATGATGGCATCAAGTGTTTCGAACTGCCTCAAGATGATACGGAGAGAGGCTTCCTGCTTGATAAGACTGAGCTCGAGCGTCCAGCATTTTGACGGTGTGGCGATGTGGACAGCGGAACGCTGTCAAGAATTTGTGTCTTCAAATTCTGACTTTGACATCGATACGGCCCACGACCGCAGAGAAGCACGATACCAAAAGTTGAGCGACATTAAGAGTGTGAGTAGTATGAATAGCTAGTGTAAATTATAGAAACTAAAGTACTTGTTTTAGACTTACGCTGCGGTTGAAGCTGCAGCCAGCTCGTTGGCTGAACTCGATTCCAATGAGGCACTAACGCAGCTTGAAAAAATTTCGAGTTTCCTAAAACTCGCTGCGCGAAGTTGTGCAGCCTTCTTCAACCAGCATGATCGGTCGTCCGGAATTGCTTGCAAAGGGTGGAAAACCGCAGATGAAGAAGATTCCGCTCTACCAGGTGATTTCACCTTTTATTGTCGAGGACCGTGTGTTTTTTTCAACAAAATTTCGTGGTTTTCAGCGGGCAAGATTGAAGAAACCAAGAAAGCCCGTGAAAGATTTACATGAAGAGCTTGAGCAGCTAAGGAGAAGTCACCATGATGAGTAACATTTTGCAATTCTGCCTCTTTCAAGAAGTATTTAACAAGTTCTAACAACTGAAGATTTGGGGTTGCACGAAAAAAGCATTTTTTTATTGGAACCATAGAGAAAAGGACCAGCAGCACGGCGTATTCAAAGTAAGCAACTCACAGCACGCTTTCTTGAGAGCTTGCTTTGCTAAGGGTACATATTTTCAGGTTGCTGAAGATAAAATGGTCTTGGCGGAAGGCTCTTAGCCCGGACAAGAAGATGTGTGTCGAATAGGGACTTTCTAAGAGCTTCGAATATGGGAAGCAGATTGTGAAGTAGAAAGTGAAGGGCATCACACTGATTATCCTTCTTGGACAAAGTTAGCTCCTCACTCTGTGGTCGTCCGTCACTTATGTTATTCTTTGGCTAGGTGGGTTGCGTAACATTATTAGTCAGTTACGAATTTTGCTAGGTGACTCAGTTGTTCTCATGTGCGCCGAACTTATCATCAGAACACCAGTGGACTCAGCGAGTGTTCACCTGGCTGATTTCCATGCATTTACTCTTTTGCTTTTAGAGAAATATTTCAATGGAATTAGCGACTGGCTGCACAGT